CACACACACACACACACACACACACACACACACACACACACACACACACACACACACACACACACACACACACGCTGTACCTTAATTCTGCTTTTTTCTATAGGGAGGACCAGAGAAAACATTTGGTGGTAAGAGCAAGGGTGTTACTGTCCATGGTCCTGAACTGCCACTGACTGCTTAATCCTTTCTCTGGGTGGCTCCTGCGCACTTTCCTAGGAATTGTTATATTGGTGAAGTGAGGGCGGCAAGATAAAAGAAGGGCAAGACTCTATTGGCAGATTAAAAAACAAGCAATCTACTGAGGTCAGTATTTTCAAGTAATTAGCTGGGACGAAATAAAGACACCAAGTTTTGACATTTTCAATCAATGGCAGAGACTGACCTGCCAAAAAGAGTGTGTGTGTGTGTGTGTGTGTGTGTGTGTGTGTTGGGGGGGCAGCTAAGAAAGCTGAGATAAACAATGAAGAAAAAGAGTTTTAAAAACAGTGCTTCAAGTGATTGAAAACCGTGAAAACGACATGACTAAACATACTGATGCTGATGGTTGAGGGAAGAGCAAACAGGTAGTAATTGTGAATGCAGCCTAAGTGAGTCACAAAATGCCAGCGTTGTTATTGTTTTCTTTTCTTTTCTTTCTTCTCTTCTCACACTGTGGGAGAACAAAGGTAGCTGTAGCTATGGTTCACGTTTTATGTAACCCTGTCTCTCATTTGGGTCCTATAGCACTTTTGTGACAGTGACACTGCATCATCATCAAGCCTCACATGCTGCTGGGGTAGGGCATAGAGTCCCTGCTCTGGCTATGTAAATTTCCCAACTAGCGTATAAACTCCACGAGGACATAGATCTGGTCTTAAACACTTTGCGATATCTCAAAGTCCCTGAGTAGAGTGCCTCGTGCAAATGAGAGTCTCAATTATATTCTTTGAATTAACAAAAGAATCGCAATGCCGTCTAAAGAGACAGCACTGAACAAAGGCTTGTAGAATGAGCAAATGTGCGATTTAATAATTTCATCCTCTTCCAGGTCCTTTTGAGGCCCAGCCAATTCCTTCTAGCAGGGCTCCAGGTCCCAAAATACATTCCTCGCAGGTCAGTTACAATCTTCACTGCAGAAAGATCTTGTCCAGCTCCTGGAACGGGTCTGCATCCAATCTGGGTTCACCCTTCCCTCTACTTTGCGCCTCCATCCCCTTCTCTCTCTCCAGACCCCCATCCCCACTCCATCTCTCCCAGTTGGCCATCCCCACTGCCTGTGGCTGGGCTCCCGGCCCCCGCCCGCCCGAGAACGCGGTTG